ATAGTGAAGTAAAATATCTTTTTATTGGACACATAGCTCTTTTGTGAATTTTCTTTAATGGTTCTTTGCCCATTTTTCTGTTTATTAATTTTTAATGGATTTTATGGGAACTCTTTGCATAGTAAGAATAATTACCTCTTTCATCACAATTTTTTCATTTGCTTTTTTTTGGTGAATGGCTTTATTGAGGTGTAATTGACATATTATAAACTGAACATATTTAAATGTCCCATCTGATAAGTTTAGACATTTATACACCTGTAAGGCCATTGCCTCAATCAAGATAATGAACTTACTCATCATCCCCAAAAGTTACTTTATGCCCTTTTGTGTTCTGTTCTTTCCTCACCCTTACCCCAGGCAACCACTATAAATTAGTTTGCATTTTTCAGAATTGTATATAAGTGAAACTGTACAGACCATGTACCCTTTTCTGTCTGGCTTCTTTCACTTATAATTACTTTGAGATAAATCTGTGTTTTAGAATTTTTCATCAGTTTATCTTTATATTGTTGGGTGTTAATTGTATGGCTATGCCACAGTTTGTTTATCCATTCACCTGTTGATGAACATTGGGGTTGTATCCACGTTTTAGCTATTACAAGTAGAGCTGCTCCAAATATTCACATACAAGTCTTTGTATGGACATATGCTTTCATTTCTCTTGGATGAATTTCTAGGAGTAGAAGGGCTAGATCATATTGCAGATGTATGTTTGACTTCTTAAGAAGCTGCCAGACTGTTTTCTAAAGTGGTCGTGCCATTTAACGTTTGCAACATTAGTGTGTGAATGTACTTGCCAACTTTGAAATAGCCAACCTTTTGAATTTTAGCCATTCTAATATACATGCATTGCTATTTTATTGTGCTTTTAATTTGCTTATCCCTAATGACTAATGATACTTAGCACCTTTTTTGCATGCTTATTTGTCATCCGTATAACTTCTTCAGTAAAGTGTCTTTTCAAATGTTCTGTCCATTTTTTAAGTTGGCTTATTTGTTTTCTGACTATTGAGCTTTGAGAGTTCTTTGTGTTTTCCGTATACAGGTATTTTATCAGGCATACAATTTGCAGGTATTTCTCCCCAGTCTGGTTTGTCTTCTAATTGTCTTAACAGATTAAAGAACATAAGTTTGAAATTTGGATGAAGTACAAATTATCAGTTTGTTCTCTTACACATTTTAGTGTTGTATCTAAGAAATCTTTGCCTAACCCAAGCTCACAAAAGTGTTCTCTGTTTTCTTCTAGAAGTCTTATAGATTTAGGTTTTACATTTAGATCTGTAGTTCATTTTGAGTTACTTTTGTACATGTTGTGAAGTGTAGATCAAAGTTGGGTTTTTTTCACATGTGAATATCAAACTACTCTAACACCATTTGTTGGAAAAACTGTCCTTTCTCCACTAAATGGCCTTTATACTTTGTCTATACACCCTGGGCTCTCTATACTGTTCTTTTGATCTATTTATTTATCTTTATGCCAGTAGCAAACTGTGTAGATTACTGTACCTTTATAAGACTTGAAGTCAGGTTATGTTAATTCTCTGTTCTTTTTCAAAGTTGTTTTGGCTGTTCTAGGTAATATGCATTTGCATGTCAATTTTAGAATTTATTTTACAATTTCTCTAAAAATATCCTGCTGAAATTTTGAGTGGGACTGCATTAAGCTACAGACATTTGTGGAGAATTTACGTCTTACCAATACTGGGTATGCCACTCCGTGAACACAGTGACAAATTGTTTTGTCACTTTCTCTCAGCAGTATTTTTAGTTTTCGGTGTACAGGTCTTTTACATCTTTCATAAAATTTTTCCTAAACTATGTCATATTTTTTATTCCATAGTAAATGGCATATATTTTTTTTAATTTCAGTTTTTGGTTCTTCATTACTTGTATATAGACATAGAGATAATTTTTGTGTTTTGATCTCATCTCCTTAAACCTTGCTAAAGTCAATTCTAGTGCTTTGGTTATTCCATTTAGAGTTTTTACACAGAAGTGGAGCCAGGACCTCAGAGTGAGAACTTCTTAAAGTGTTCTTCTCTTGCCTCATTCCGCTTTAGCTCTACCTAGACAATCATGTCTGCAAAGAAAGAGTTATTTTTTCTTTTATACAATTTGTCCATTTTTTGGTAGTTTTGAGCAGCAGAGTAAATCTAGTCCCTACTCCATTTTGGTCAGAAATGGAAGAAACATGTTATGTCATTTCCTTTTTAATTTTTATTGTGGTCATTTATTTATATATTTTGTTCTTAAATATTATTATTTAAAAATTTTATTAGCTCTGTCATCCAGTCTGCACTGGAATGCAGTAACAGCCTTCACCTCCAGTCTCAAGTGATCCTCCCACCTCAGCCTCCTAAGCAGCTGGAAACTACAGGCACATGGCACCCTGCCCAGTTAATTTTTAGATTTTTTTTTTTTTTAAAGAAAGGAATTGGAAAGAAAGTGTGCTGATGTGTTATTTAGCTGAGTTCATGACTGCTGGCTTCTATCTGTTTTGAGACTAGCTAAAAGTTAAGATGATTAAGAGACAGGTGAAGGTACAACTAGATGCTAAGATAATATCTACAATAAAAACATCTGGAAGGTTGTAGAACTTTTAGGAGTGTTGAACCCAGTGAGGCAAACACTGAAATAAACATCTATGAGAAAGTTTGAGTAACTCATGATTATGGACAGAGCTATTTTTCTAGAAGAGTTTTTTTAGAGAGAGGCTTGCTCTGTCACCCAGGCTGGAGTGCAGTGGCACGATCTCAGCTCACTGCAACCTCCACCTTCCAGGTTCAAGTAATTTTCCTGCCTCAGCCTCCCAAGTAGCTGGGATTACAGGCATGTGCTACCACACCCAGCTAATTTTTTGTATTTTTTGTAGAAATGGGTTTCACTATGTTGACCAGGCTGGCCTCGAACTCCTGGCCTCAAGTGATCCGCCTGCCTCAGCCTTCCAAAGTGCTGGGATTACAGGTGTGACCCACCACACCTGGCCTGTTTTCTTTTCTTTTTTTTTTTTGAAGAACGAGAGAAAGAAAGAAAAAGAATAAAAAAAAAAAAAAAAGAAAGAAAAAGAATAAAGGAAAGGGAGAAAGAGAAATTTTTAAATTTTTTGTAGAGACAGGGTCTCACTGTCTTGCCAGGGCTGGTCTCAAACTCCTAGGCTCAAGCAATCCGCCCACCTCAGCTTCCCAAAGTGTTGGGATTATAGACATGAGACACTGTGCCTAGCCAGTTTTTTTATTTTAATGAAGACTCTTTAAATGTTCATATTACAAAATCTGTTCATTGGTCTGGGTCCGTAGGAATGTTGACAATTATTAACCTTTTCTGATTCATGTAACATCAATGAATAACCTGATAAAAATTATGAATCTGCTTTCCAGAAACATTTGTATATACACATTCGCATTTCCATAATAATTTCAGTAGTCCATAGACTTCCTGAAGGCTCATCCACTGATTCCACATTGTGAATCCCTGTTTTGAGATTTCTTTCTTTCATGTCATGTTTAGGAAGGATTTCCATTTCAAGATTATATAACTAAAGAAATATTTTTTTAAATGATGAATTTATATATTTTTTCTCCTTTGTATATATAGACAGACATTTAAAAATGTGTCAAATTCATATGTTTTAAATGATCAAATAAAGTAATGTGTATGTGATAGCACCCTAAAAAATGTAAAGTGCCACACAGGTGCTACTATGCTCATTGCCATCATCATCATCATCATCATCATTAAAACATTCACCCTTTGAGCCAACTTCCTCACTCTAGAGAATTAAATCCAAAATAGGAATTATGTTAAGAAACAAAGTCACAGTGACTCACGCCTGTAATCCCAGCACTTTGGGAGGCTGAGGCAGGCAGATCATGAGGTCAAGAGATCAAGACCATCCTGGCCAACATGGTGAAACCCCATCTCTACTAAAAATACAAAAATTAGTTGGGCATGGTGGCACACACCTATAGTCCCAGCTACTTGGGAGGCTGAGGCAGGAGAATTGCTTGAATCCAGGAGGTGGAGGTTGCAGTGGACCGAGATCGTGCCACTGCATTCCAGCCTGGCAACAGAGCGAGACTCTGTCTCAAAAAAAAAAAAAAGAAAATCAGCTATCAAGTACTTATTCTTGCATGATCTATAAGGGAAAACAGAGAACACTATAGAGTTACCTCTTGTTATCCATAGAGGACTGGATCCAGAACCCCTGGAGATACCAAATCTATGGAAACTAAAATTAGCACTTATATAAAATGGCATAGTTTTGCATATAACCTGTGGACATATAAATAATCTATAGATTATTTATAATGCCTAATACTGTACAAATGCTATATAAATCGTTATACTGTATTTTTTATTGTTACTTTTCTTAAAAAATATTTTTGAGCCATAGTTGGTTGAATTCATGGATGGGGAACCCACAGACATAGAGAGCCAACTGTAGTCAGTATAAGAGAATGTAAAAAAAAAAATTATGGTGCTTCATTAAATGAGATGCTGTAAAACATTAATAATGGTAATGATGTCATTGTAGAAATATGAGAAATATTACCATTTAAGTTGAGAAATGTTAAATTGTATTTACATTATGATATCTTACATAGAATGTGTATATAAAAAAGTATACAGAAATATGAAAATAGTTTTTTTAAAGAGGCTTGTGAATAATTATTTTAGCATTTCCCTTAATTCTGTTATGCCTTTAATTTTTTAATATTTTTCTACATACATATATTCAAAGTTATTATCCCATCCCAATTTACATCGCCTTCACAGCTCAATTATAATGCTGCCTGACCTGAAGTTATATTTCCTTCCTTATGATTTTATAGCATCCAATAATTTCAAATTTTGCTGGTCATGGTATCTTACTACTACCCAGTTTTTAAGATGTATTATGCAGTTTTTGATTATTTGTTGAATGCTACAGTTTTGGGGCTTATTTAATTATGCTTTTGCTATGATGATTTAAACTAATTATGGATTTGTTTTTTCAGTTGCCCAGCAGGAGGTTGAAATGTGCAAACGCTACAACGGAACATTTCCATTACCTGGAATACACCAAAGTCAAGATGCCCTATGTACCTCTCCAAAACTACCCCATCAAGGCTCTTTTCAGATTGGTGAATATGTCCATACTGAAAATTCTTCAACAAAGATGCAACTAGTCAAACAGAGACTTGAAACTGTCACAGTATGTTTATTTTATGCTGTTGAAACTTTAAAACTATTTCTATCCTGTTTTACATTGCCATGCCAGTAAATATTCATTTAATGAAGTAAGTTAATTACTTAAAATTAGACCTTCTTATACGTCTATGGTTCCTTTCAGATGCTAATCCCTAAATCCTTAATTGCAACAGACAAACTGAATTTAGAGTAATTGATAATGCTGTTCTGACTGGATCTCTCTGTAAAGACTAACTAGCCCAGGACCTGGTGGTAAAGGAGTGCTCTGAACCAGATGACCACACCTAGAATTTAGCTTATGGGTATGACTCCATCTCCTAGGAAAGAAATAGAAACTGCGACTTTCTCAGCCCAGCATGGTTGCACACACCTGTAATCCCAGCCACTCAGGTGGCTGAGGCACAGGAATCGCTTGAACCCAGATGGCAGAGGTTGCAGTGAAGCAAGATCATGCCACTGCACTCCAGCCTGGGTGACAAAGTGAGATTCTGTCCCCCTTTTCCCAAAAAAGGAAAGTAAGTAAAGGCAAAGCATATCTTAAAATGCTGTGTTGTAAGAAATGGAATATTTTAGAGTGTGTTCTCAATAAAATAGAAGAAAACAATTTCTATTAATGAAGAGATGAAAAGAGAGTCTCAAGATTTTGATTTTAAAAAGACATATAAGAAAAAATGAATTTGAAGAAATTCAAAAGGTAAGCTTCAATTCATTCCACATTGCAGGTGGTAAAAGAGAAAGTTGACACTTTAAAATATCAGATCGATAGTGTAGAATAGAAAACTAATTTCAGAAGCACACAAGAATACAGAAAAAAAAGGTAGGTGAAAACTGTAGTTAACAGTGTAGCTCTGGGATCCAGATGCTTAGGCATAGGAATGGCATAGGCTACAGCCTGTGCCAGCTTTGTGACTCGGGATAAGTTTAAGTAAGCCTAATTTTCCTCATCTGTGAAATGGAGGTGGTTTTTGTTTTTGTTTTTCTTAATTTAGAGACAGGTCTCACTTTGTGGCCCAGGCTGGAATGTAGTGTTACAATCATCGCTTACTGCAGTCTTGTACTCCTGAGCTCAGGCAATCCTCTTGCCTCTGACTCTTCAGTAGCTGGGACTGTAGGCACATACCACCATGCCTGGCTAATTTTTAAATTTTTTTTTGTAGAGATAGGGTCTTGGTATGTTGTCCAGGGTGTTCTCAAACTCCTAGCCTCAAGCAGTCAGCAGCCCTCTTGCCTCAGCCTCCCAGAGTGTTGAGATTTCAGGCATGAGCCATTATGTTGAGCCATAAAATGAGGATCGTAATATTTCTTACCTTACAGGATTTTACAGATTCAGTAAGACCCTAAAAGTAAACCTCTTAACAGGGCGTCTGATAAATAGTGCCACTGATCAATGTTAGTTATTATTGTTGATAATGAGAGATGGATATGAGATAGATTGTGCACATGGTTTATCAGTGTTGTCAAAGAAGAGACCAGTATATATAAAAAGAGATAATAGAGATCAAATACAAAGGCCTTCCTGTGCTGAAGTCCCCAGTCTATAAAATGAAAGTATCTATTACCAGACCAATTAATGAAAAGACACCAGTGTCTTAGAAATGTCCTAGTGAAACAGTTTGATTTTTAAAGATTTTTTAAAGAAAAATCATAGATATGATGGGGAAAAAAAAAACAACTGGTTGTTAGGAACTAAGCTATCTTTGAACTTCTCCATAAGAGCCAAAGTAATAATGAAGCTGAAATAACTAGTAGTATAATACAAATTCATAAGATAAATCAGTGAGGAAAGGAAGAATTGTCCGCTTGTATGGTATTGGGAAACCCTGTTAACTATGACTTAACTGAAAAATGCAGTCAGTTTATATGCATATATGGCCATTTAGGTCATTTACCTAAATCAAATTCTCATTTACCAAGGAGTTAAATATGAAAATCCAGATCTTTTTAAAAACTAGGGAAATATGCTGGCAAATATTTCTCAAACGGATAAAAACATACTAATTTTTAAAGCCGTAGAAAATCCTCTCCCAGAATCTTGATAGATTATTGACATAGAATTTTAAATTTCTCTGTTTAAAAATATAAGGATGTATATGTATGTGTGTGTATGTAACACATACACACACAGACATATATGTGCAACAAACACCAGCCTGGGAAAATATTTACATAAAATATCTTGAAGCAGCCCTTTTAACATGCAAAAAACTAAACAGTAAGAAAAATAGTAAACCTTTAACCAAGAAATGAGTAAAAGAAATAAACTGTTCTTCTAAAAGAAGGAGATAGAAATGTTTCATAAGCATATTTTAAAAGTTCTATCTCACTACTAGTAAGAAAAGTACCACAGAAACTAGGTAAAACTGAAAAACAGATAATGAAAATGATGAGGAGGAGGATGTTTTGTTAAAGGTAGTGTAGCATTTTGTTAGTGAAAATTCCTAGAAAATTTTTCTCAAAGATAAATGGTCAAATGTAATAAGAAGCCTAAGCATCCTGAAAGATACCTTTGACCATACTTTCAGTAGAATTAAGTGGAAGTCCTTTTGTTAGAATTACTTTGACCTCCTTGAGGACAGGGGCTGTGCAGCCTTGTTCATTGTTTTATTCTTACCTTCTGGCACAGTGTCTGTCACTTAATAAATATTATCCCTTTTCTTGCTCCCTTGATAGAGATCTCAATTAGTTTTAAACTAAATATGCAAGGAATGCATTGAGACAGCTTTAGTTCTGACTATGCTCTCCTCCTCTCTCCTTTTCTTTATAAAGTCAGAGACTTGAAGGTGTACCAGGATGCGGATTACACTCCATCTCTGGGCTTAGATTTACCCTAAACCCAGAATATATGTTGGAATATAAAAAAAATTATATTTCTCAGTTAAATTTTAGAATATATAACTAGAATAAATTTATTTCAATATTGTAGTTCTTTTTATTTCAACATGTTTAATGTAATCGAATAATGCATGGTGTTCCAGATTTTAAAAGGAAGTCTGAATAGATACATTGAGTTTTAAAAATGAAGAGAAACATATTTCTTCACCAGGAAAAAAAAAAAAATGTGTTCCTTCTCTAAAACCTTGCATGGCAAAGTAACTTCATCTACGGATGTAAAAACAACTCACCAACGATGTAAAAAGCAATTTTCCTATAGTCTGTCGGTCTTTATACTATAAAACTTAATATCCTGGAATCACCTAAGTCTTATAGCTTTTCTCTAATTTAATTTTATATACCTGTCATCCTCAGATAAATAAAAAGATGTGAGAACTAAAGAAAGTAGATGTAAAGGAAGAATAAAATCAGAAAAAATGTTTTTTTAAAAATGAAATGAAAGGCAAGGGAGAAGTAAATGGGTAATTTATTATAAAAGAAAAAACTTCAAATTATTACTTTATTTACCTTTTCCATATCTTTTCTTTTTAAAATTATTTAGAGAATATGTCTACTTTGGTGTTGAGATAGATAGAAGCTGCCTTTGGAAATGAAAACTTTTGCTTTGGTTTTTGAAAACCATTATTTTTCCTTTATTGAGAGATTTCACTGAATTTATTTTTTTGGATGCTATCTGCAATGTATTTTCTTTCAGAATGTACCTAGTATGTATGGGAATAAAAACAGCATCGTCTTTATTCCTATGGCAGCCTCATTCTATATTTTGCAAGCATTTAGGTTAACTGAATTCCCACCTTTTGTCATTATGCCTTTTCTGTTGTTTCTTGCAATTGCATTTCAGTAGACCCCAAATTCCTTTTTTATTTCTTTGTTATTACAATAGGAATGTTTTTCTAATAAATTATGTTATAGGTTTAGAGTATGATTATTTTTGTGTATGTGTGAGTGAGTTGCATAATAAATTTAGTTTAGTAGGTATGTAATAGATGTTTAGGCATTAATGAGTAAAGGATACAAAAAATAGATAATTCTCAGTTATCGGGAAGATTACCATTTAGTCATAATATAAATCACTTAATCATTTCATAATTAGCATACTTGACTGCATGTTGCTGCCACAGCAATACCTAACAACATTCTTACCCAGGTAAGACCTCACGGGTAGACGGTATCCTGTAGAGCATTGGTATATCTCATTCTAAGTTTTCAGATCCAGAAATTTGGCTGTAATCAGTGCATCCAGAGTTGCTCCGAATCTGTAGTATCTATTTAAGATTACTCAATCCTACAAAAAGTTGATTAATAAATGAGAATCCATTAAAATATATCTGATAATATAATAAAAGGTAGACCATTCTGGCAGGCTGAACACTCAAGATCTCTCCCTATCCAAATTTAACCTGAAGCCCAGGCTAATGATCACAGAATTGATTGCTAAGCAGAGTCATAGGGGTATGGATTGGATGGGTTTGAAAATGTTTTATGCCAATTTTGACAAAAGATTGACTAATTTTCTCTACCCCACAGGAGATACCACCTTATATGTTAATTAATGATAACTAACGTCTGTTTAATTATTAGTAATAATTGATCTATTTCTGGCACTGTGCTAAATGCTTTACATTTTATTGTATTTAATCCTCAAACCATCCTATAGGGATGAGTTTTGTTCCCATTTTCCAGAAGAGCAATTTGAGGCTTACAGAGATCAAGCCACATAACCAAGATCACACAAGTAGTAAGCACTGGAGCTGGGATTCAGCCCAGGTGGTTGGACTCCCATGTCCACAGTCAGTTTTGCTGTCTCCTTTTAGTGACTGAATTACTGATATGCTTTAGACATGTATCTGCCGCTTAGAAATTTCTAGGTAAAAAATTAATAGATACTCTAGAATTGCAATTCTGGATACACTGATAAAATCAAATTTCTGGATCTAAAAACTTAGAATGAGATATACCAATGTTCTCAAGAAAATATCCACCTGTGAGGTCTTACCTGGGTTGCAGAATGCTTGTAAGTATTGCTGCAGCAGCAACATGCACTCAAGTATGCTAATTATGAAATAATTAAATGATTTATATTATGACTAAATGGTATTGCTCCAAATAACTGAATTATCTACTTTTTTAGTTCTCTTTTTTTTCTAAACTCCATGTTGATTATGACCATTTTTTACTAGTTCTATACTAGACTGATGATATACGCTGGTTAACTCCTAATTGGACTTGAGTATTTTTAGTGTCTCCTTAGCAGCAGATTTTCAAGTTGTCCATAATTCATTGACTTTTACTAGTGTCTCTTTCAAAATGATCTTTTCTTGGTCTTGTACCAAGAATTGTACATAGTTCCTTTCTGTAGCTCCTTCAATACTAGTCATATATTTTATCACTTAGTAGTATTTACTATTTAATATTAGATTTCATCTGATACAAATAATATGGGAATTCTGTTTATGGTTATTGTTATAGAGATAATTGTATATTGCAGTTAACTTAGCATGTGTCTTTTATACCTGTTAGGGTTCTAGTATATAATTTTATTATTCTATTAATTGGAGAACAAGTTTTTCTTGAGGCAGATACCTGTGAGCCCTCAAAATGTTTCTGATTGCCATTTGTTTGGGCAAGTTAGATTCACCCTGAATATGTCATTAAGTCTCTTTCATTGGAAACAATGCAGAGTGACAACTGCAGGATAATGGATAAAGAAACTTACAAATGTTAATTTAGGTTATTAGAAGATTAACATCTGAGTGTTTTGAAAACAGTCAATACTTTATTTAATGAAATTATGAATACTTCCTTATTTTATTGTATTCCTTTTAGGAGGTGATACAATCCTATGCTGCAAAAGTAAGTTGCTTTTATTACCCAGAAGATAACTTTGAAGGTATAGTGGTGCACCAAAGAATTGGAATGCACCATTCATAGAGTTTGGTACCTTTATAAAGGTTAATCTGAAGTATACTTTTGTTATTGGAGCTCAGGTTTCTTAAAGAATTATAATACTGGAAACTGAGATTTCAGTAAGGGTGATCAAGATTTGAGAATACTAAGTGATTGATTGAGATATACTTTGAGTAAGGGATCAGCAAGATCATTTCATTCTCTGAGAAAAATTTTGTATGATATTTAATTTGTATAAGAGACCAATCAATATAGTTCCAGTGGGTAGATGCTGAGTAAACTGTATAAGCATTGAAATGCATATAGGCTGTACACAAATGATTTATTGTACTGATAATGCTCTTCCTCATTTATAAGTATTTTACTTTTCCCTTCTCATTTAACCATACTGTATAGTAATCCTGAGAAATTGATTAGATATAATTGTTATTCCAGTTTTAGAAAGGAGGAGACTGATGTGAATTGAGGTTAAGCCCAAGTTCCCAAGTTAGTCTCAAAATGGTAGTGTGTAAAAAGACTCTTAATTATTAAACAATTTCAACTAAATTGTATCCTTGATGTTTTCAACAAAGCATAGCATGGCAACTTTCTTCCTTTTTCAAGGAAGGTTATTTTATGTCTAACTTTTAACTTAGGTGTTGGGAAAATAAATTAAGGAGTTGGAATGGCAACATGTGTTCATTCTTCCCTGTTCTTCTGTCCACTCCAAAAATTCAGTTAAATAATTAGACATCTGTTCATTTAACAGATATAATAATAGATCACAAAGAAAAGGTAAAACATCCAGAAGGAAAGAATTGGAATGGTGTTAGTATATTTAAAGACTGTTCCATATAATATCAATGTAATGAAAAAAATTTTTTTAATACAGCAGATACCTACTACCATTTGGTAGGCACTTGGAATAGAGTAGGATATTATCTCTTTCCTCAGGGGGCATCTTAGGGTGGGAGGAATATATCAGAAAATACAAGGTACAAGGCTTACCCCATCACTGAGCTGTCCAGCATCAGTCAGAACCCATCACTTTTATACCTAATTATCACAAGTCAACAGGATATGGAATATAGACAAGAGGAAGGAAGACGGGGGGAAAAGAGAACAAGCTATATTCTGACTTGGGCTGCAGATGTTCAGGAAATGTTCCTGATAGCAATGATTGGTGTAATGATTGTAGCTGCAAGATTACTAAACCTTCTTAAGCATGCATTGTATATAAAATCAGAGGCAAAAATATAATTTATTTTCTGACTAGCAATTCAAAGCTATTTCTCTTTAACAAATGTGCTGCATACTCTTCTTTTACAATGCTGTCTGAATGTCCAAAGAGTAAAGTGTCCTGCACAAATTGAGCAAGCCTTTATGGAGAGCAGCCTCTACGAATCTGGAAACTCCCCAAGGGTGAAGGACCATGCCATTCATCATCATATCCCTAGTATTTAATAAAGGTAGAATAAATACTCATTGAAAAAATCATTAATTTGGAAGTTAATCAGTGTCTGGAAAGATTAACTTTACTAGTATCTTCAGTTATTCTTTTTTATAATAGTTTTATTGAGCTATAATTTACATACCATGATGTTTACTCTTTTAAAGTATTTTAAAACAATTCACTGGTTTTTACCATATTCACAAAGTTTTGCAACCATCCCTACTATCTGATTTTAGAGCTTTTTCATCACCCCTGCATGAAGCCCCGTATCTCTTAGCAGTCATTCCCACAATTCCTACGCATACACACTTCAAATACAAACTCCTGTAAAAATTCCTGGCAGCCATTAATATACTTTCTCTATAGATTTGGCTAATCTGGACATTTCATATAAATGGGGTCAGATGATATGTAGTCATTTGTAACTGACTTCTTTTACTCAAAATTATGTTTTCAGGATTCCTCTATTTGTAACATATATCCGTGTACAACTCAGGGGTTGGGGGACCAACTCCCTGTGCAGTCAAAAATCAATATATAACTTGTAACTCCCCAAAAATATAAGTACTCATAGCCTGCTGTTGACTGGAAGCCTTACTGATAATGTGAGCAGTTAATTAACACATATTTTATATGTTATATGTATTATATACTATATTCTTAAAGTAAACCAGAGAACAGTAAATGTTATTAAGAAAATTATAAGGAAGAGGAAATACATTTACTATTCATTAAGTGAAGTGAATCATCATAGAGGTCTTCCTTTGTCTTCACATTGAAGAGCCTGAGGAGAAAGAAGAGGGTTAGGTCTTGCTATTTCATTGGGGGCAGAGGCAGAAGAGGTGGAGAATTGGGGAGGGGAGGCGGGAGAGGCGGGCACACTTGGTGTAACTTACTGGAAAAAATCCACCCGTAAGTGGACCTGCACTGTTCAAACCCATGTTGATCAAGGGTCAACTGCACTACTTTTTATTGCCAAGTAAGACTTCATTGTACAAATAGGTTACATATTGTTATATTTGATCAATTTTTGAACATTTGGGCTGTTTCTACTTTTTAGCTGTTAAGGTAATACTTCTATGAACATTGTGTGTATAAGTTTTGGCATGGATGTATAGTCTCATTTCTATGGGATATGTATCTAGGAGTGGAACTGTTGGGTTATATGGTAACTATGTTTGACATTTTGAAGAACTCCCAAAACATTTTCCAGAGCATCTGAACTATTTTAGAATTCCACCAGCAATGTATGAATGAAGTTCCAATTTCTTCTCATCCTCACCAACACCTGTATTCATGTCTTTATAGCCATCCTGGTGGGTGAAAGGTGGATGTATCATTGTGATTTTGATTTGCATTTTCTTTATGACTAATGATGTTGAGCATTTTTCTGTGCCATTTGTACTTTTCTTTTTTTTTCCTTTTTTTTTTTTTTTTTTTTTTTTGAGACGGAGTTTCGCTCTTGTTACCCAGGCTGGAGTGCAATGGTGCGATCTCGGCTCACCGCAACCTCCGCCTCCCGGGTTCAGGCAATTCTCCTGCCCCAGCCTCCTGAGTCGCTGGGATTACAGGCACACGCCACCATGCCCAGCTAATTTTTTGTATTTTTAGTAGAGACAGGGTTTCACCATGTTGACCAGGATGGTCTCGATCTCTTGACCTCGTGATCCACCCGCCTCGGCCTCCCACAGTGCTGGGATTACAGGCTTGAGCCACCGCGCCCGGCACTTTTATTTTCTGGAGAAATGTCTGTTCAAATATTTTGCCCAATTTTAAAATTGGGATTTTTTTTTTGTCTTTTTATTGTTTACTTTTGAGTTCTTTATATATTCTAGATACAAGTGTCTTATGAGCTAGATGATTTGCAAATATTTTATCCCATTTTGTGGATTGTCCTTTCACTTTCTTGATGGTATCTTTTGAAACAAAACGTTTTAATTTTTATGAAGTTCAGTTTATTTTTTTTTTGTCACTCGTACTTTTTGTGTTGCATAGTAGAAACCATTTTCTAGTCTGTGTCACAAAGATTTACTCCTGTGTTTTCTTCTTGAGATTTTTGTAGCTTTAAATCTTACATTTAGGCCTGTGATTATTTTGTGTTAATGTTTGTATGTGATACGATGGACAGGTCCACTTTCATTCTATTGCATGAGGCTGTCCAGTTGTGTCAGCACTGCTTATTGCAAAGAGTGCTTTGCCTATATTCAGTGTTAGCACCCTTGACAAAAGTCTTTAATCTTAACAGCAGAGTATACTTAGGCAGTTTCTCATCTATTAGACCTAGGATAATAAATTTTCACAAGGTGTCCGTTATATGAGTTATTTTCCCTTCTACAGTATTTTTATATTGTTGAAGGCTCACTTGTTTTTTCCACTAGCATTCTTTAAGCAAGTATTTATTGAGTACCTACCAAGTATTTTTCTAATTGCTTGGAATATAATAGTGAACAAGAACCTTTTATTGTAGAGAGACAAATAATCTTAAAAAGAAACCAATAAGGTAGTTTCAAATAATAAGTGATGTGAAGAAAATAAAAGAAGTTCATGGGACACAGAATGACGGGGAGGGGAAGCTACTCTCAAGAGGATGATCATAGAAGGCCTTGCTAAGAGAAACACTTGACAAGGAGCTAGTCATGTCCTGCAAAAATCCTAATCTAGGAAGAAAAGTGGCATGCTCAAGGAGCAGAAAGACCACTTTGCTTAAGCAGTGTAGTGAGCAAGCAAGAAGAAATAATTGTAAACCAGAAAAGTATCTGAAACAGGCCTCAATCAGTTTAGAAGTTTATTTTGCAGAGGTTAAGGACAGGACCCAGGAGAAAAAGCATGGAATCACAGACATAGGCTGCGGTCTGCCTTTCTCCAAAGATGATTCTGGGGGCTTCAGTATTTAAAGGGAAAAAACAGGCTGGAGGAGAAAAGAAGGTTATGGTCACAATACTGAATCCACAAGTTGCAAGAGAAAAGGAGCAGGTGAGGGAATAGTCAATTACATATTTATCTTGCCCTCAGAAAATTGGCACTTTCCAAAAGATAAGGTGAACATGGAAGCTACCTGTGGAGATACTTAACTTTTATCTGTAGCTATCTGCTTATAAATAAAAAGAAAGGATCTGCTGCATGACTCAGCTTTCAGCTTAATTTTTTTTCTTTTTGGCATTAGATTATAAATTACCTCAGGGAGGACTAACACACACACATGCTTTCTTTCTGTCTCTCTTTTTAAATTTTAAATAATACTATTTTCACTTCTAATCATTATATATCTGTCCCTCCACACTCTTCTGTAAGCTTCTTGAAGCCTGGGAACTTCATCTTTTTTTTTGAAATATTAAATCACCTATCCTAGATGAATATAAATTCAGCCAAGTTGAAGTTTATTATGTTTAGTAGAAGAATGTTGTAAAGTAGAATGTATATTATAGTCAGATTCACCTCAGAACACATTATTCACTGAAATCATTTTTTTAAAGGTTTAAAAAATAGAGAATCTAGAGAAAATAATTCTTTAATT